ACTCTCTGTGGAATAGGAATCGTGGCGTATGTTTCCACATTTCTTTTTAGCATCTTCCATTTACCGCTGTCTCGTAACTTGTATTTGGGCAGTTTGGAGAAAGCCTCACCAACTCAAACTTGACCAGCCGGGCGTTTGCGATCACGGGAACTTGAAGACACTTGTACGAACGCGGATGGGTAACATGAATAAAGATGGCTCCAGATCAGCTATGTATTTAGTTTCCAACCAGGTCCATCGCTCAACATGAAATTAATTTGCTGAATACAGAATAAACTGTATTTTCCTGCGCTCAAACCTGGCAATTTAAAGCATGATCTAAAGGAAACGGCATATGGCGTTTGAGGTAATTTGTGAATTAATAGTCTAAATAAGACAACAACTTTTGCTGTTATTACACTTGTATACAAAGCTTTGTATTATGCTTGTTTATAGATTGTGTGATATCACATGCACTACTGCTGGTGGCAACCGACCACCGCGGTGACACGGTTGTCACAGCGACCGTCACAGCCCTAATTCAAGCATTCAGTCAGATTTTTGTATTTACTATGTTGTTTATCAATCAACACCAATTGCAAGAGTACAAGAGAGACAAATCTGAATTCTTCTGCTATACACTATTGCTTGGCAAAATATTGAGCAGCAGCTCTGGGCATGTGAACACGCTAATCTTATTGGTTGACCAGTTTTCTTCGCAGTGCGATGAAGAGATTACAACACCTCTCCATAAAAATTGTCGCATTAATGGCATGAGAATGTTCAGACCAACATGAACAGACACATTAACAGCTGTTTATGTAAATTAAAATATTCATCACTCAAACTTTTGTCTTGGTGGTTTGGTCAAAAGGAAGTATGTTCAAATGATAACTTAAGATGATACCTACATAGGCTGCACACTAGGCTTTGGAACTGGGCATAAGTTTCGGTCTTAGTCAGAACGAGAGCATGTCTCTTACCGATTATTTTCTACAAGGCCGATGAGGAGCTGATGGCATCGTTAAGCGTAGATGATACAGTGTGACTTAATTTACACACAGTGCTAATGAGATGATGTGCAGAATGCCCTGGTTTCTGTGGAAACTGCCTTAATGTGTTCTGTATGTAGTAAAGTGCTTGTTGTGAGCAGTGGCCAAAGGTCAGAGCTAGATGATGAGCTAGATGACATCCTATTTATCTCTTGACATTTCTTTGTAATTTCTGTTGTCTATTAGATGATATTGGTGTATGTTTCTACTTCAGTCTTCTTCTTTTAGCACTAAAAATAGCTCCTAAATCTGTGAAACGTTAGGAGTAGTGAAGAGGACTCCTAGGTCACGAAGACCAAGCCACAAACTATACTAAAATGGCTGTTGCCGGCAATCTGCCTCTGAACGTAAACATTTGATGATTATGACCTTTTAAAAAGGTATCGCCTTTGGTTTTGGAGGTTATCCCAACTCCAAATTTTCCTTTGATTATATCCTTGTTTTCATTAACCAGTTGGGCAAGAAGTAGGCTAACAGCTGTTCTTGCGTCCAGTTGTTTTTTTTTTTTACGTTTGCATGTATTACTATCAGCCAAGATTATTCTACTGTGTTAATTAAAAGGCTGTTTATATTAGAAGTCGACCGATTCATCAACACTATAGTTGATTGGCGGAACTATCGGTTATCGGCAAAAATCCATGCGATAGTTTTCCGGGATGCGTCCGTTGCTGGAGTGGCTGAGAAAGGTCTGCTGCCATTATACAGTACGAGAGCTGCCTCTAAAGGTAGAAATTACTAACAGCACTTGTTGTTTGTTTTGACACGTGACACTGCGCACTGCACAGAGCGGGAAACTTCAAACGCGCATTTAAATGCGGCTGACAGAAAATCCTGCCACGGAACAGCGTCATTCACATAGTTTTCCATTATATTACATTATATTTGTCCCAAATCATTGTTAATGTACATAATAACTTCACCCTAAATAAACTTTTTCGGACCGGCACTTGAGTTGAACGTGACCCGTCTGGTATGTGATACCCATGAGTTGACATAGCCGCAACGTGGTGCTGTGCTTCTCGTCCGGTGTGCGACCGGCATGTTTTATTTTGATTAGATTGTTTATTAAAGGGCACCTATTATGCCGTTTTTACAAGACGTAATATTGGTCTTGGGTGTCCCCAGAATGTGTCTGTGACGTTTCAGCTCAAAATACCCCACAGATAATTTATTATAACATCTGGAAAATGTAATTTGGGGGGCGTGTCTAAGCTGTTTTGGTGTGTATCACTTTAAATGCAAATGAGCTGCATGTTCCCGCCCCCTCTCCAGAAGAGGGCATCGCATATACGTCTCTCTGCGTTGCATACCTACAGCAATAAACAGCCGGTAGCAGGGCTCCAGACTAACTATTTTTACTAGGAGCACTGTAGCCTCTTACTGAAAATTTTTAGGAGCACAAGCAGGAAATTTAGGAGCACACCTTAAATTAGCCTGCAATGCAATCGTTCACATATTTTCCCCATTTTAACTGTATTACTGACAAATGTTTTGATAATAAATAGACTTAACTCATAGAAATTACAATGTGCAACGTTCTTTTAATTTCAGAGGGATATGACAAATATATATATATGATGAAATTACTATTTTGCATTATTAAAGTGCGTATACTATTGTGTTATTATTAAGCCCCATGAAAGCCACAAAAACATTATAAAGCACCATAAAGTTTTTGTGCACTATATTTAAAGTGTTCTGAAGTTGTTCAATAGTTTAATGTGAGGTACAAATGATAAATGAATATTAAAGTCAAGTTCACGTAAACTCTTCTCTCCACTGCGGCTGTCTGTCATCCTACATTCAGCATTCAGACTGCGTGTCACGTTCGGTTACAGTCAAGATGATGAAGCTCTCTCCAAGATGATTAAATGTTCCTAATGTTATACTTGATCTGTAAATAAAGATAAATGGTTTTGCATAAAAGGATTTCATCTTGCTGGAGTTTCATGCTGTTTCTAAATTGTGTAAATTTCTACCTGATATCTGGTTGGATCACAAGACTGGAGTAGAAAGCCCTATGAATTGCTCGTCACGAGCACAGTAACTGAAATTTAAAACCGTTAAAAGAAAAGGCTCAATAAACTTTAATACACTATGCATCAATATGTCTTCACTTTGTGCTTTGAACTTCTCTATGCGGAAAAGCGCGCTGTGACTCCATGTTGCTTCAAGCGCATCATTCTGCGCATGGGATGCGCATAATCGCTTTGAGCCGCTCTGTATTTGGAGCCTTTAGTATCGTAATACTTTTGCGCAATGAAAGATTATTAATAGCCTTTCTTGTTCGTCTTATCTATCATATGTTGCTGCCTCATTACTCTGCTATACATTTAAAAGAAATGTCTTTTAATTTATACAGTATTCAAAATTTGAAGTGGATCAAAAAAGTTAATAAAAGTTGTGCTAAGACAAGAACGGGTATTGTTTTGGTTTTAAGACAACTTTGATGAAAGGTTTTGATTCACTTCAAATGTTGACTACTATAGAATATATTTATATATAAATATGACTTGTTTTTCATTTCATGTATTTTACAACAATACAAAGAGCAATGTGTAGGCCTACCAGATTTAGTCCTACACTTATTCAGTTTTATTTGTTACCCACTAAATGTTTTTTTTTTTCACTAGAAGTTTAAGATTTTCTAAAATTATTGTGCACTCATGATTTTTCTAGACTAACTTTTGCTACTAGATTATCCGTTAACCTAGTTTATAGTAGTATTTTTGTCATAGATTATGATTATATATTTTTTTTGTTTATTTTTTCTTTATAATGAAGCTGTCTATATTTAGTAGATTGTGCTTGTAACAGTCAAAAGGGTGATGATGGACCTACACATTGAGGTATGCAAATTCTACACTGATTTAAAAAACTGCACTGGTATCGTATCGGTATCGGCAGATACTCCGAATGTTTGGTATCGGATCGGTATCGGTTCTGAAAAAGTGGTATCGAGCCAGCCCTACATAGAACACAGGGATTGCTAACTAGACATTGTTGACATTGCAGCTGCTCGAGTGCGGAGAAAATGGAGGGCAGCATACAACCAAACACAACTCGCTGAGGGCGGAAACTATAGCAATGCAGGGCTGTCAATCAGCCCCCGTGGCCTGGCCCTATGCAATGTGACATCACAGAATCAAAACGGCAGGCCTAGTGAGACTGGTTTGGTTTAAAGGGGATTAAAAAATTAGGAGTGGGTGAATTTTTATCATTGTAGGGTGGTTGTGTTCACACACTGTCAACACAAGTTTATGTCCAAACACCATGTAAAAGTGGTTTTTGCATAATAGGTGCCCTTTAATTGGTTATCGGCCAGTGCAGTCTAACCTAGTTATCATTATTGGTAAAAACCACTATTGGTTGACCTCTAATAAAGATGAGAACAGTATATGTTTACATTTTTTTATGAAAATGTAGTAAATATTTAGTCTTCTCCACTAACCGCTTTGTAAGATGAGAGAGATAAATGACCATACGTATGTTTGTATGATGTAAAACATTGTGCACATGCGAAGGGCAGTGATGCATTTGTTACTTATGTTTTTTAAAAATCTGTTTAAGCAAATGGTCAGATTCGAGTGTTTATATGCTCAATATTTGCCTGTTGATCATATTATACAAGGTTGACACCACCCCTTTTAATCCAGTTGTTATGGTTATTTGGGTGAATTTACACGTTGACGTTGAGTAGTAATCAGACACAAACTCTCAAAAGTACAGCATCCTACTTCAGAAGTCTGAAGTAAAAAACTAAAGGTTTAATTCTGTTGTTTCTGATGTGTCATTGTAGCCTGCTGAGGAATAGCATACTGTTCTCTGTGCAATTGATTAAAGCACGCTGTTCTCCTGTGATCTCTCTGTGACTGGCTTCTAAATTAGGCTTGCTATCCTTTAACTGTCTCACTCTTTTCCCTTCGTTCTGATTATTCTGAGTTTAATGCTGTATGTTTCTCGTTCTAGGTTTGAGGAAGTCCACTAAGAAGCGTAGTGAGTCTCCCCCAGCAGAGCTCCCCAGCTGTCGGAGGAGCACACGTCAGAAGACCACGGGCTCTTGCGCCAGCACCAGGTACTGAACCGCCAGCCTCTTCAAACCCCAGAGCAGCCTACTTATCTAGAACATGCACAAGCTAAACAATACATGTATGTGCCCTACTGGCTGTGCATGACATTTTTATTGCTCATTTCCTTTGGAGAAAAATTGCACATACTGGAGAAATATGAGTCTTTCTAGTGTGCATGTATCGAACCCCTGTTTTTACACATGCTGTCAATTGAAGTATGCTTTGAAAGGCAATCCGCTTGCTAAGTCCTGACGAAAGCATAGCTGTTTTCTGGGTCCAAGCCTCTATTAGTTTCACTGGGGAATACTATCTCAACAGCCGTTTATGAACACTGCACATTTAAGCTAAGCACTTAAATCTTACAGTGTATACTACAGTCTCTGTGCTCACAGTGTCTGTAGACATACCCTTTCACTTCAATAGGCTGTAGTTAGGGTAAAAGCCATATTAAATTTTTCGAGGATGAAAATGTCTTTACAATGGCATGCATTTTATAAACATTCTAAATATTCAGTTTTTTTACAACTGTCAAAACTCTTATGGAGTTTTTGTCTACTAAAAGTGTTTGTTGAAAGATGTATTATCCATTGAGGATGCAATCCATACTAGTCTTGCTCATGTATTTGTTGCGGTCGTATTTACTGTTGTTTGGTGAATTTTCACAGACAAAATCCAGGCACCTGAGGGTGAAAGATTTCCCCACACAAATTTGGCAATGGGTTCAAACTGGTCACGTGGAATTTTTTTTTGTTCGGTTACTTACTTTACTGGAACTTCCAGTTCATCCTCATAAGAAATCGGGTGCAACGTTTTGGATTATCTAGTAGAACTTTTTTTCACACTTTATTCTGAATGCTTGGAAACCTTGATTATAATTGGCTAAGTGTCATTTAAAGCCATTGTGAAAAACTTATCACATATCACCTCATTACATCAGTAAATTCAGTTATTGTTGCTTTATTTTATAAAACATTGCAATGTGTTAGTCTTTTTATAAAATGACTGAGTCATTGCTAACAACACCCCATTCTTAACAATGTCCCATTCACACCAAGAACGATAAATGTTAATAATATTGGCATCTGCACTGATGATAACGTTCTGTTTCTTATTAGTGTGTGCTACAGTTATGTCGTCTTTTGCTTTAAATGCTCACACACTTTAAAGTTGGATTGATTCTGTGTTGTTTGGCTATGGACATTTTATTAAAGTAAATAGTGTATTTTGATAGTTTGGCATCATTTTAGTGTAGTATGTGTGGATTTTAATGAGAATATTGGTCTTTCTCTTTCCCTGTTGTTTTTTTTCTTTCTAGTCGGCGAGGCTCAGGCCTGGGCAAGCGCGGAGCAGCCGAATCTCGCCGACAGGAGAAAATGGCCGACTCCGACAACAACCAGGATGGGGCCAATTCATCGGCCGCGCGCACAGAGGAGACACCACAAGGGGCGTCAGGTAAAAGAGCAGCAGTGTAATGAGATTTTACTATACATTGTATGCAGGGCAGGACTTCCGGGGCCGGGCGCAACTGGGCTTGAGGTTATGTTTGGGCCCCATACCTATACTACAAATGCCCTCAACTAGAACATTATTATGGAGTAACACAAAATGCACAAAAATTAAAATATGCTTTCAGGTTCATATTCTGTATACAGTTAATAGGCAACATGTCTAGCCTAGTCAAATTTTAGTTATAATATTAAATAGTCACTATAATACAATAAACAGGATGTGATCTCTCAGGTGTGAGTCAGACAGCAAGACGAGACGGCAAAAAGAAAGGATGTGATGTTCAGAACATGGTAACTACAGTAATTATCAAAGTGGGAAGTGATGCCCTCTGGGGGCATTTGGCCAGGGGTGTTTTTACACCACAGACAAGGTTTGAGAAGAAAAAAATCATGAAAATCTAATTTATATTTTCCTTAAAATGTTCTTCCTAACTTCAGGCCTTATTCTAATGTCATATATAACTGCGATGTTCTGCAAAACAACAAGCTTTAAATACTTTTATACTTACTGGTGAAAATCAGATGGTCAGATCTGTTTTCTCTCAGGTAC